CAAATCCTAGCAATGCCTCCTGAAGAGACAATGTGACATTGGTATACAGGTCATCACCTTTTCTTTCAAACCTGCAATGCATTAAAAACATAGTCATGGAACAAAATATATATATGGGTATGTGTATATGAAGTAGTTCAAGAAGCCTTCATCTTGATGCCAATGTTATGGAAAAATATGAAAATAGGTAACTGAAGCCACACATTTATATATGACCATGTAATAGTCATAGTACATAAAGCAAAAAGGGAAAACATCAGTAACAAATAAAATACATCCTGAATAGCTGTTATAGTCAAGACCATCACAACATTCAGAATTACCTTCCAACTTCCAAACAATATTAAAATATTTTCCAACTCATGAATTAGCATAAATTAATATTTAACAATCACTCTTTCCCTCTCATATCTTTTGCTCACTTCACATCTGTTTTTTAATGACAAACAGGTACAGTCTATAAAGGAGTCTATCCAAAAATCTTCTAAGCTTTTTCCAGAAAACACAACTATCATTTCCTACTATCTTATTTTCCAACTGGTAGTGGTGTATATATGGTTTTAACAGGAACTACTTTGGCACTTTCTATTGTTGCTGACACTGCACCAGTGGATTCAATTTTGCAGCATAAAAATACTTATGCAGTTGTTACTATTGTGTCCAATTCATCTACTACTGATATTCACATCTATTTAACATTTACAAGAATTAGAATGAGAATAAGGCTACAAACAAAAATAATATGAATAAGCATATTAAAAAAGATAAAAAAGACAAAAACAACAGTAAGATTAAAGCGTAATAACAATGTAATAACTCACTTTTCATGTGGCTGGGTCTTGATTCGAATGACAAGATCTCCAGGTTCACCATCAATATGGGGTTCTCCCTCACCAATGAAACGATGTTCCTGTCCATCAACCATGCCAGGCTCAATTTCAAACTCAAGAGTTCGCTCTTCATTCACCAGCCTGTAAATTTGAGAAACAATTATGATGTGGAGGAGGAGATATTAAAAAATTGAGTACATGCTGATATATATTCTATGATTTACTTAAGGATATCCAGTTCTCAAGGTAATGGTATTGATAAAACCCCTAAGTCTGAACAATAATAAAAGTGCCTCCAGCTGGTAATATTACAAACAGAATATTAATTCTGAAGTAACAAAATATTGGTAATGTATAAGTGTTTTTCATGTGAGGAATTCAACGGCTTGACTGATTCCCTTACTTCCATATTTACTACTACATGAGACATAGGGCCATACATGTTCTAAGGTATTCTCAGACCAATTGCCTGAAAATAATTTTTTTAAAGAGATTGTTTGTTTAATCTGATGCTGACAGGTGAAAAAAACCCTGAGAATTTTAAACTCTGGAGACTTCTGGCAATGGGCAGACACTGGGCATGGGAGTCCACTACATCAAGCTGAAGGTGTGTACAGGCATACCCCACAGACCAAGCGGTTTGTTATGATGCTGATAGACGTGGCCCGTCAGCATTGGATTAAACTTTCACCATAACACATGCATCTATGCACTAAAATCATGAGACTGCTGTATATATTGATCCTTAATTTGAAGATGAAAGCTTAAACTAACATCTTATAAAAGTATTTTTAGGGAATTGGTCAGAAAATCTTTGGAAATACATGTCCTCACATGTCTACTCCCCCCATATTCATACATCATAATCTAAGATTAAAGCTATGGATATAATCAAATTTATTGTCATGTCCCTTTAAGCAAAATCACTGTAAATAGTTATTTAATCACTCATTACAGTATTCTTTTCATCAATGTTTTTATAGAGTCCATTAACCCATTGGCCGCGGTTGGCAAGAATAGATGCCATACCCACTTTGATACACGTTTATTTATTGTATTTACACCTAGATGGCTCTACAATTTCTTAATCACCAAATAGCCAGTTATCAAGAACTACCTATTTCACCTGTTTAGCCTTTTCCTTTACTTTCGGAAAGGGTTTTTTGTATCATCTTATTGTCAAAAATATTCTAATGACAATTCAATCATCATAACATCAGTAACAATAATAACAGCATCGAAAGCAATGATATTAATTTTCCCGCCAATTCAATGAATGGGAAAATCAGGGTCGGTAACTAGGGCCTACTGATAGACTCCTTGCCGGCTGAGTACATGTGGAGCCATCTGTAGGTAGCAAAATTCACCAAAACCAACAGGGGACAGAACATAAATCCGTGGCCAATGGGTTAATTACAATTTTGTTCCTAAATATAGGACGCAACTTACTTGACATTTGGACACTCGTCACACACTTGCTGCTGAGTCATCTGGAACCTGCCAGGGCCCAGCTGTCTTGTCACCATCTCCTGACGGCAGTTGCATTTGCGTGTGCCTGATGCTGATCTTAGGACTGGCTTGTTGCGCACCATCTGAAAATTACGAAGTTGCAAATGCTTTCATTAAAAGATTTAAGATAATATATGAAACAGCTGATCGTACTGATATTAATCACAAGAGTACTAAGACCTCACTGTTGCTAATCACAACACTTGCATAGTGCACAGGGGGTAATCCCCACATTTCAAAAGAATAATAAGAAAGACAGGAAAGAAAGAAAAGTTAAGAGGGAGAGAGACATTGGAGAATGAAGAGAGACAAAATATAATAAATATAAAGACTGACCTCAACAAAATTTCCCACATATAGTTCTTCCAGTGTGACCATCATGTCCATAGTAATATCACCACCTCTTGGCACTTCCCTCTCTCTGGGATGTCCACCACCAAAACTAAATCCGAAGTCACCGAAAAAGCTGGCGAAAGGATCCATTCCTCCGAAGCCATCTTCCTTGGCCACACATTCCTCTCCACACCTAAAAATGCAAAAAACAAAAGAATGAAGGAATATCTGAAAATGTAAGAGAAAGGGGGGGGGGGGGGGAAATAGTGGGTCTAGTGGGTAAAAATCATGAAAATAAATACATCCTTCTCAATCCCTTCAAATTCTTAGAAGTATAACAAAAATTAAACTCAAAAATATTTCTTTGAAAGTAATTCCATCAAAAGAAAATGTAATTCTAAAGCTAATTATCCATTCATTGTACAAGTTGTTCCTATCATTAGTTAAGTGTGAACCATATGTTAACCCCTACAATCTGGATGACACAACCATCATGTCAGGAAAAAATTTTGCTTGAGGTGTTGGTAATGTGAACATGGTATCATGGAAAAAAATTGGCTAAATGCTGGGGTGACAGAATACTGCCATCATGAGAATTTTGGCTGAGGATCAAAGTGACAGTGAAGACTCGCCATAAGTGCACAAAACTCCTGGAGGGTGATTAGACTCAGTGGGCATTTAGGAAGGGGCTTTAACATTATATCCATTGATAAACTAGTGTGGAATGTACCATCCATGAGCTATTGCTAGAAGAGCGCTGGCTCCAAGGAGGACACTATTTGCCTGCTCAGGATTCTGTTCCTGCCTGCTGTGACTGGCAGTAGAGGTCGTATTACAGAAAACAATGTTATGGGGGGGGGGGGCAAATAACAGTGTTACTTATTGTTGTTATGATTATTACACTGAGCTATGGACTACCCTAGAGAGATGACATGTAGTTGGTGCAAGGAAGTATTTTACCATCTGGATAAAGCAAATCAAATGACAAATATGGACACTGGAAAATGGCAAAAAAGCTAAAAACACTTATACAGAAAAGAGAAGATAAAATTGCAAAGGGGAGACATGGAGTCTTGTTGCCCCATACAAGTAATCATGTGCCTGGCCTACAAGCTGCACACCTGTGAGACTGTTCACTCAAATAAGCCTAATACCAGTATTTTGGGCCATGTGATGGCAGTGAAGCATCCAGATTGAATGGGTTAATGACTAAAAAAACGAACTTATGAGCAAAGCCTGATTTACTTTGTTAACCCAATGTTGACAAGAGTTTCATATACCATACTGGACCATGCTCCATGCACTAGCTGCTGCTCAGGGTAAAATTTCCACAATAATTTTGTAGGAGCATCTATCAAAACTTTAGATAATATTCAAGAGATTTCCACTTGCTGGAAATTGAATGATAAGAGATGTGAAAAGTTTTAAATAATAAAGATACTGTATATTTCTTGAAGAAAAGGAAGAGCTTTGATGCATCCAACAATCTTGTTAAATATCAAATAATCATCTGCCTCTCCCTTTGGTAATGAATACCAAGCAATAATAATAAAAAAACACTTAGATCTCTTGCTGAAATTATCAGTCAATATCAACTACTGTCAAATTAAACACAATTTGCATGTCAATAATAGGATTTAGAACTAGAGGAAACCTGCAATATCAAAGTCAAGTCATAATGACAGAAAACAAACAAAAATCCTACAATGTCCATTTCCTTCTATCTCTGAATGGAAGAAACAGAAAGAATTCACTCCCTCTACTACTTAAATACAAACAAACCCATTTTTCTTAATCTCTTTATTCATTATCACCTCTTGCAAGCTCACCTGTCATACTTCTGTCGCTTCTCTTCATCAATTAGCACCTCGTATGCATTTCCTAATTCCTTGAATTTCTCTTCTGCTGAAGGATCATTTTTGTTCTTGTCCGGATGGTATTCTTTGGCAAGCTTTCTGTATGCTTTCTTAATCTGATTTACACTTGCAGTTTTTGGAACACCTAGAATCTTGTAGAAGTCACGCCTGTGGAAGAGAACCCAAAGGTAAGTGTAAGCCTTAAACATTAGAAAATGAGAGAAGGGAGAGTAAAAGAGCAAGTGTAAAAAGACAAGGTGGAAAGTGTAACGAATAAGAGAAGAGAGAAATAGAGATGAAGAAAAGAGAGCAGAGGAGAGAAGGGAAGAGACAAGAAAAAAAAAAAAAAAGAGTTGGGAAACTTACACGGAAAAAGATCACAGAATAAAAAGTGAAACTGATCATTTAACTAAACTGATATCTTGAAAATCTTACTGCAGATAAGAACTTTAGTCAATGTCTTAAAAGAAGTTATGCAAGGTTATAAACATATTAATTATCAAACACAGATAAGCAATATCTAATCTGAATGAACTAGCTGAGCTGTCTTAGCAATGGTAACGAAAATGGCCCCACACAGACACACACAAGTGCAAGTCTGTAAACATATGTAAGAATAAATGAACGAAAATCAATTATACTCCTGAATAATTGATGGAAAATGTACTTGTTATTAAGCCATAATAAGAATTTACAACTCAACACCTTCCCTCAGAAAAAATATGTTATTAATTATAAGGGTACAAAACCTAACATTTAATTTTATCATATAATGGACTACCTTAGCATGATAACTGCACTCCCTTCTGAAAAATGAGTGAACTGCTTCACACACATTGTTCATGCTATTACAGTTTTGACAAGTAGTAACAAAAAAACGTAATATAATGGCAAAACTTAGAAAGAAAAGAAAAAAGGATTTTTGTAATCTTTGCAAATTAGTTTCAAATATAGGGCACTCAATCAACACATATTTTCTCCTAAGGTATAGTTCTTGTAAATTGAAAAAAAAGTTAGAAATTAAACTTAATGATAGATGTAGCATACCAATTGCTATAGCCTAAAAGCCTCTAGGGGTCTATGAAAATGTGTGTGGGGAACAATATTGTAAATGTGTAAATAACTGCTAAAAAGCAGAGAATGCGTGACTTAGTAAAAATGCATAGCCTCAAGATGATTAAATGCTTATCAAGAGCACAATGTGTGAGTGCACTTGTATTTATCACTTTCACAGTGTTAGTTGCATTATATGGAATGAAAATATATAACTTTCTTTGAAATGTAACATGTGTTGATCTCTAGCCTGAGGCAGCCCATATGTTTTAGGTACCTAAACAAAGGCCAACAAACCCTCCCCTACATATATTCAGCAAAATGTGTATGGATTGGTACCTTATTTGATGGCAAATCATCAGCCTGGTCTACAAGTATATAACGGTGGTTTGTTGGCCTTTGGCAAGATATCAGGAGCTTGAAGGCTACAGTAATCACTTGAAAATATATACAAGACTACAAGATTAGACTTCTTACTATAGGGGCATGAGATGAAGACCCAAAATCAGATTTTTAATATATTACCTCTACCCAGCAGTTAATTTGCACATACCTAAAGAATGGGAACAACTTATAGAAAATGCAACCTTAAGAACTATGGCTGTGTGCGGGTGTTGTGGACTTTGTCTCTGAGCGGTGATATTTAGTGGATATTTTTGACATTTGCAGTAAACATGAGGCCGCAGCAGCTGTACTGGTGTTATTGAAGATTATTTCTTGTGCTCTATTAGATGGCAGTGTCCATTTCCCTCTATCTCTGTGTTGCCCTCAATAACATTAAGCTCGACTGGCTCTCTATTACACACAACAGGAAGTTTCAAGCTAATTCTGATACGGCCAATATATCTGAAAGTTTTTTCCTGTTCTGGAAACTAATGAGAGTCAGGTAATAGCATTTCCCATTTTTAAGGCAAATTGCTTTACACTTTCAATTCATGATAACTTTTGTCGCAATAAATAATGCTCTAAAACTCAGGATTCTATGCACTGTTTACTTTGTAATATGCTACTGTGTTCTCTACACTAAAAACAAGATTTACTCTTTCTATTCTTTGACAAGATAGTGACTTATACATCAGTTATGTTGCAGGTATTTTCAATATGAATATTCAACAAACATGAAAATCTTTCCAACACTGAAATCATATTATTTACCTACTTATTATAAAAAATTCAAGCTCCGACAAATTTTCCTTCTGCATAACACAACATTCGCCAATAATAAGATACAGCAAACAGGAAATTACACCAACAAGAAGGGAATTACATAAAAGCTACATTTAAATCCGGCGCCTCGATGCAGCTCGCGGATGTGTCTTGCTGTGATTGGCTCCGTTCCTTGCCTTATTTCGAGGCCTAAGGGACTTTCTCGTGGATTTCTTGACTCTTAGGGCCCTTTAAACTGTACTTTGGACGGGTTAAAATCGCGGAAGCTCCCGAGAAAGGGTTCCTTGTGGGTGATTAAAGGTCTAAAAAGCTTGCCATCGGGATCAGCTGATCGGACGAGCTACTGGTTACATATTTGTTTTTCAAGCTGGGGATCCACCTATCCATGCACTTTATGACTTAACTACGGCGTGTTGCAATGTGATGGGTTCATAAACACACTCAAGAAGTACTCACCCCGCTTCGCAGGCTATAATTAGGAGGATCAAACAGAATCCCCATCCCCAACGCGGCGTCATTTTGACAATTCTGCTGAAGGGGTTGTAGCTTTCAAAAGTCTCCGATATAATCCTCAAAAATGCCAAACGAAATTTAATCTAAAAAGGATAAAATCGGAAAATAACCGGGTATGATAAACTATTCTCCGCAAATGTAGAGGAGTAACTCTCCAATATGAAGAAGTAAACGCGAAAGACGTCCGGCAAGCAGACGATGCTGTGGCGCGAACGGCCGCGTCCACACTACGAGGCCGA